ATCCTGGCTCCACAATTTAACTTGGCACCTTAGGCAACTCATTTAATTTCTATGAACCTCAGTTTCTTCTAGGAAACAAAAGTTAACACACATAGGATTTAGATGCTTCTTAAAGTTTCTGGATCATAATGGGTCCTTAATGTATATTAGCATCTCTCTGCAAATGTAAATGATAGCAACAAATACACTGATAAAACTTAGAAACAGGATAGTTTTGCATTCACTCTTACAGTCTTTGTGATTTGATAGGAGAGTAATACCTAGAAACATTCCTGACTCTGCTTGCTCCCCATGTTTCCTTCACTGCAGATCAGACAGGAACCCAGGGCTGACAGAGTCTTTGGCATCTGTGTGGCCTCTGAGTTACTGTCTTCCTCGTTACCATCAGGAGCAGTCAGTAGACCTTGTCTTCTGCTTTGGTTCCTTTTCTTAAAATTTTCTGACTTAGTATCCTGGGTTTAGGCCCCACTCTCAGCCTCAGTGACAAGGGATCTACTGTCCCATTTTTCCTTTTTCTCTGAGGGCTTGATCATTTATGGACCTATGGAAGGATAGTCCAAATGATCTGATAATCAAGTACTAACAGCAGCCTGGAATCTCCCCTGAACTCCATCCACTTGGCAGAAACCCCAGGAGAAAAGTGTGGCTTCAATAATAGAGAGGCTAGCCATACTCTCAGAAGGCCAGGCTCGACCTGAACCCTACATCTGGCACCGGTTCTGTTGTCCCATGGCTCATTCTAGTCCTGCCCCTCCCCGCCTATGCAATGAATAGCCAATCTTAAATGAAGCTCCAGAATACATAACCAGAATATGCACCATATTTACCTTCAAGTTTTCCTACATTTCTCTGCTTTAAGTTGACTGAATCTTGCAGAGTTGAGGTGAGAATACAGAAAGTTTGATTACCTGTCAAAGCAAGTGACAAGAACTTGCTTTGTCATAGTAGGGTCATGTGTAGGATTTTTAGGAAAGACAACTGGAAAGGATTATTTTAAATGAATAAGTGAGATACAGACCTATTTCTCATCTTTATTCTTGCTCTAAAATTGTTAGAACCTCCCTTTGGATCAATGTATGTCACTCCCTTGGATCAGCTCCATGCAGCACAAGATGGAAAAAAAAGGGAATTTTCATCCCTTAAGCACAGCAATGAAAAAAAAAATGCTTTCCTTTATAAATCTCAATAGTATGTCTAATAAATTTGCCAGCAATGAGGAATGAGCCTCTGAAGAAGTAAAGAAGTTACTGGAGGAAGTATTTTTGATGCCTTGTATTTGACCTGTATTTTTTAAGTCATGGAATTTGACCTGTATTTTTTGTCATAGAATCTCGTTGAAAAGTGATAGGTAGTGGGGTAGCTGGTATTACTGATGCTCTAGAAGGAAAATGAATTTAGTAGCACTTTTCACGTAAAATCTTCTGTTTGAAATGGAAGGTTCTCTATGAGAGAGACTGCAATAGCTAAGGTTCAATCACATTTTCTTTCAGTCCAGTTGTCTGCAACTGTAATAGGTCAAAAACCTAAATGTACAGGGATTGAAAATAAAACTTTTGGGATTTCCTGATCCTTTCAGGCACCACCCACAGAGATGTCCATCTTGTTATTCTAATGGATGAGAGACAGTCAGGCCAGGGCATTCCTTAATGAGAGAAAAGAAATCCCAGGCATCCCCATGTTATTAAGAGAGTCCCTGTGAAAATACTGACATTTGGTTTGGTATTCAGCTGGGTGTTGAGAAGTCATCAACTCTCCATGCCAGTTGAGTCATGTTAAAAACACTTTGGTATGTGTGGTTGGCTAACTGCAGGTGCTTGGCGGTAAAAGTTAAGGCAGCGTAGATATGCAGCTACAACATTGTGGTGATACGACTGGTTTACAATGATTTGAATGGAAGCTCAGGGAAAACATCATTTATTCCCAATTTATTTCCTTTTATGATGTGTCCCTGTGATGCCAAACATCTGGGAGGGACCAAAAGCCTTAGAGAATTCTTTGCAAAGACTTGCTTCTTCATCTATCCAATCATTTATTCAACAAATACTTGTTGGGGGTTTATAATACAACATTTTACCTCAAGAGTTTAGAAGGGGAGGAAGTTATATACACATACTAATATCATTGTAGAAGTTGAAAGAAATTACAGAATGCCACCAGAGAGATGGAAATAAACTATTACACCTGAGCAGATTGCTTATAGAAAGCTTGCAGATTCAGGGATGCCTTCTGGACAAGATGGCATTGAACTGAGCTTTATCCTCAATGTTTTTATCCTAACTGGAGTTTAGGCTGTGTAACAGAGACACTTTGGGTTGCAAAATACAGAAAACACAACTAAAACTTGACAGCATACTGGGAAGGGCAAACTCCACTGAAACAAAATGGTTCTCATCCAAACCAGATGATTGGACTAGAGTAGGAGCATTTTTTGTATGATTGGGGAGGGAAGTGCAGTGGTGTGTTTGCTCCAAAAAGTGAAAATAGATTGGTTCATAAAGCTGGCATTCATTTAACAATAGCCTTTGAGGTAAGGCTGCAAGGTAGATGCAGTGGTAAATGTCAGATGAGGGCTGTAATAGAGTGCACAGAGGAGAAGAAGTAGGAAGTAGAGAAGTATTATAGTAGTAAAGGTAAGAAAATGTTTTTAAAATGGGCTTCAATTATGACCATGAGAATGAAATTAGAGGGTGTGTATGTATTCTAGCCTATCTGCCGATTGTAGAATCAATGCCACTTGGCATCCGGTGTGAATGTGAATATTGATGATTTTCATGGTGCTATAAACTGAATTAGTACATACATGAGAAGGAGGACATGTGAGAGGGATGAGAATATATTGTTTGGTGTATATGGAACTTGAAATGTAGATTGGATGTGAAAGAGAAAGGCTTTTAGATATTAGTGCTAGAGAGATGTCAGGATGGGACTTTAGATCTGGAAATTCTGCAGAGGTGATAATAGAAGTCCAGTGATTGTCAGGAGAGTGTATTTTCATAGAAAAGAAAAGATGCTCAAAATGTTTGATGGCTTAAATGCCAGGGTATTTGGAAAAGTATGTTATGCTCCCAAAGCATACTTTTCATCACATTTCACATGGTTTAGTAGATGGGACATTTACATTTAGGACTTTTTGTAATTTTAAATGTATTGTTATATGTGGGAAGGTGTGGTGATTTCTAACATATGAGATTGGTAGCCAGGGTCTATATGTTATTATCACTTCCACTTTTAGTTTTTAAGTTTTTAGTCTGTAAAGTCCATCTCCTCAATTACAGACATAATTCGTATGTCTTCAGTGCCTTGGTTATGTCAAAGTATATATTCCTATTTTATATCTTGATTTTCAAGTGTACTCATTGTAAGTCTACCTTTATGGGAGATTTTTGCAAGACACTCTGAAAATTTCTTTTTGGTGAACATTAATTAATGTTGGTTATAGCAAAATTTTTAGGTATTTTTATAGCACTTGTATTGATCAGCACTTGGAATAAAGAATATTTCACAATCCAAAGTCAGAAGACTATTTTTGCATGAGCCTATATTGCCTTGTGCATTGATGTCATCATGAAGATAAAGAGTCTTATTATGTATGTAATGTACTCTCATTCAAGACAGTTTATATATTATATTATGTGAAAGCAGAAAGTAAGATGTCTCCTACAAAACAGGCAATTAATAAGTTCAAGCTAAATTTAAAGTGAGCTAAACTGGAGGTTGGCACTATCAATCAATACCTTAGAAATGTTAGTTTTGCCTAACTCTGTAAATGGAGCAACAGATCACTGCTGAGGAATGGACTGATGGAATAATTAATAGTTGCCATGGTTAGAAAACTATTTTCATGATGATAGATCATCTGTGCATGGAAGTGTGCCTATGTAAACAAGATAATTCCACTCAGAACAAAAAATAATTAAAAAATAAACAATAAATCATACTGCCCATATGAATCAACTCTCATTATTGGACAAGAGTTTAACAGTATTTATCTGGTAATTCCTGTGTTAACTGGCAAACATCACAGATGTTTGCCATAATTTTCTTTTATATTGATGTAACCTTCTACAGTTTGCAGAGTTTTATCAACTCATTCATTATTTTAGCAGGGACTTTGATGCAAAGATTGTACTCAGTGTATTAAAGTCCAACAAAACTCTAAATATTTAAAATTAAATTATCAACGAGAAACCCACAGACACATACTTTTTTGAAAATGTTTTTTGAAATTTCTATATTATTTCATGGCAGTAAAATAATTCTCTCAAATAAAGGTGCTCAAAGGACAATGCAACTCCCATCAAAAGTGTTCTAAGAATAATTTACATTTCAAACATTGCATACATTTCTTATATGTTTGTTAACTTAATGTCTTTATCACTTAAAACCATAAAGAAATACATTAAACAATTACAGAAATGATGCACCCCACAAAATCTCTTAAAAGAGCTTCTTTTGTACAATTAGTTCCTCATGTATCTAGTAGTAAAATAAGTCAATATGGCTTGGCAAAAATGCATAGATTAAGTGTAACTTTTTTTTTTTTTGCTTTCTCCCATTCCCCAATCTACAGACTTGCCGAAACACATATACCGTGTTTTGTTAAGCATAAGGTAAGATATTTATTCTCCATCAAGTCCACTATGGGCAATCAACAGTGAGTCTTTTAAATTCTACAGTGAGGGCCCTGAAGACCAGTGATGTCACTGCTTTCTTAAAATAGTTTTGTATAGTCTTGCAAGAGCACAGAATCTGAAGTCGTTTAAAAGAATTTCTGTCATCTCATTTAGAGATATTTTCTTTATTCCTTCCATGAGCTGATCTCGATAGTGATGTCCAGTCCACATGAGAGTGAAAGTCCCTCCCTCCCACTTGGATGAGGAAAACTGTTCTGTCGTGGTTGACAGGCATTTTCTTAGAAATTAAAAAAGGCAGCACCTTTAAAAATATATATATATATAGCTAAGCTTTCCCTCAATTGTACTTTCATTTCATAGTAATAATTAATCTGATCTACCTGTAGGCAAACCCGCAATTAAGAAGAAAAACAAGAAACAAGAAACCCTCAATGTGTTTGTGTGCCAAAGCAAGGACAGAGTGACCGTGATCTTAACCCTGAAGCCTGTGACACTTGGCGATTGTAGCTTTCGATTTTCCTTCTCTTTCTTTCTCAAATCCTGTGTATTAGCTTTCTTTCTATCAATTTAAAAATCTTCCTGATTCATTATTTCTGCCAACTTTTTAATAGCCTGTATTTTAAAGATTCGTTCTCTGTTGATATTCTTTTCAAAGGCAGCCTTAAGATTACTAATCTCTTCCTCTTTCTTCAATTTATATTCTTCCTCTGCCTTCCTCATTTTAGCTGTTAGCTCCTCATTTTCTTTTCTTAATAATTCAATATCTTTGGTAAGCATGCTCTTTTCTTCAAGCCGACTAACAGTGTGATCTTTATCTGTCATCTCATGTCTATTTCTTGAAGCAGCTTGCTTGCTTTCTTGGGTCAATTCAAAATACTGCGCTTCCAGAAGCCCTCGAGCCAACTGCTCAGACTCAGCTTTTGTTTCTGCTAGATGCAACTGAGTGCAGAGGGTTTCTTTCTCATTTTGTAGTTCTTGTATTTTCTTTAAATTCTCTCTGTTTTTTTCTTCAATGTCTTCCTTAAGTTCCTTTACCTGGGTCTTATAAAGTCTCAAGAAATATTGCTCAGCTTTAAGTGGATCTTGCAGCTCCTGCATCTCTCCTTCTTTTCATCTGTATTGTTTTGTAAACTGAGCTAACTCGAATTCTAACAATTTATTTGCTCTCAATAAAGTTTTTAGTTCCTGTTTCATATGCTTTTCTGTACCTTTTAAATTATCTGTTTCAAATGAGTCTTCAATTCATTTTGTAACAACAGTTGCTTATTTAATTCTTGCTCCAACTGAAGACTTAGATTCTTAACTTCATGCTCCATTCTTTATTTTCCATCAAATGCTCAAGCTTCTGCTGATATTGTTTCAGATCAACATCTACCATGGAACACTGCTTCTCAATCTGAACAACCCTACTTTCAGCCTTCTTGCGAGCCTCTCTCTCTCTTCCTTTAGCTTTTTTTCCATCTCACACATTGCAACAGTTTTTGCCTCTTCAATAGACTGATGTTTGTCAGTTAAATGAGCTTTGGTTATGTTATGTTCATTTACCTCTTGTTCTAACCGTTGTTGTAATGATTTAAGTTTATAGTTTAAATCTATTTCTAAATTTTTCTTTTCCTTTTCTGAGTGATTAAGCATATCTTGAGCTTCTTTTCTCTCTCTTTCCATTCTTCCAAGATGATGTTTGAGATGCTTCACCTCCTCCTGTAAAGATGTAATTTGAGCTTGAAGGTCTCCAGTCATCTCAGAATCATGACCTCTGTCTCTTCGTTCAGCTTCCAACACAGCTTGCAGCTGGTAATAGTTTTTGTCCATTAGTGACTTGGAATTCTCTAAAATTCTATTTCTCTCCTGCAGTTCCCTGGTTAGGGACTCCAGCTCACTGACTGCCTTGCTCCTCTCTGTGGGACTCTTCCCTAACCCCACAGCTGTGTCTGACTCTGTCCTGAGTAAGTCATTGGCTTCTATTGGCTGCTTTTGTAATTGTGCCAGTTTCTCATGAGCAAGCTGTGAATTCTGATTTATTGTCTTTAAGTCTTCCAACAGATCCTTTAGTACATTAACCTCATTTGCTACATTCCTCCTCTTCTCATTTTCCTTCTTTCTTTTCTTTGGTACTCATTAGTTCTATGCTGTAGCAACATTTTATCCTTTTCAATCTGAGACACTGTAGATTCTAGATTTCTTCTTTATTGTACTCAGTGTATTAAAGTCCAACAAAACTCTAAATATTTAAAATTAAATTATCAACGAGAAACCCACAGACACATACTTTTTTGAAAATGTTTTTTGAAATTTCTATATTATTTCATGGCAGTAAAATAATTCTCTCAAATAAAGGTGCTCAAAGGACAATGCAACTCCCATCAAAAGTGTTCTAAGAATAATTTACATTTCAAACATTGCATACATTTCTTATATGTTTGTTAACTTAAAGTCTTTATCACTTAAAACCATAAAGAAATACATTAAACAATTACAGAAATGATGCACCCCACAAAATGCTCTTAAAAGAGCTTCTTTTGTACAATTAGTTCCTCATGTATCTAGTAGTAAAATAAGTCAATATGGCTTGGCAAAAATGCATAGATTAAGTGTAACTTTTTTTTTTTTTGCTTTCTCCCATTCCCCAATCTACAGACTTGCCGAAACACATATACCGTGTTTTGTTAAGCATAAGGTAAGATATTTATTCTCCATCAAGTCCACTATGGGCAATCAACAGTGAGTCTTTTAAATTCTACAGTGAGGGCCCTGAAGACCAGTGATGTCACTGCTTTCTTAAAATAGTTTTGTATAGTCTTGCAAGAACACAGAATCTGAAGTCGTTTAAAAGAATTTCTGTCATCTCATTTAGAGATATTTTCTTTATTCCTTCCATGAGCTGATCTCGATAGTGATGCCCAGTCCACATGAGAGTGAAAGTCCCTCCCTCCCACTTGGATGAGGAAAACTGTTCTGTCGTGGTTGACAGGCATTTTCTTAGAAATTAAAAAAGGCAGCACCTTAAAAAATATATATATATATAGCTAAGCTTTCCCTCAATTGTACTTTCATTTCATAGTAATAATTAATCTGATCTACCTGTAGGCAAACCCGCAATTAAGAAGAAAAACAAGAAACAAGAAACCCTCAATGTGTTTGTGTGCCAAAGCAAGGACAGAGTGACCGTGATCTTAACCCTGAAGCCTGTGACACTTGGCGATTGTAGCTTTCGATTTTCCTTCTCTTTCTTTCTCAAATCCTGTGTATTAGCTTTCTTTCTATCAATTTAAAAATCTTCCTGATTCATTATTTCTGCCAACTTTTTAATAGCCTGTATTTTAAAGATTCGTTCTCTGTTGATATTCTTTTCAAAGGCAGCCTTAAGATTACTAATCTCTTCCTCTTTCTTCAATTTATATTCTTCCTCTGCCTTCCTCATTTTAGCTGTTAGCTCCTCATTTTCTTTTCTTAATAATTCAATATCTTTGGTAAGCATGCTCTTTTCTTCAAGCCGACTAACAGTGTGATCTTTATCTGTCATCTCATGTCTATTTCTTGAAGCAGCTTGCTTGCTTTCTTGGGTCAATTCAAAATACTGCGCTTCCAGAAGCCCTCGAGCCAACTGCTCAGACTCAGCTTTTGTTTCTGCTAGATGCAACTGAGTGCAGAGGGTTTCTTTCTCATTTTGTAGTTCTTGTATTTTCTTTAAATTCTCTCTGTTTTTTTCTTCAATGTCTTCCTTAAGTTCCTTTACCTGGGTCTTATAAAGTCTCAAGAAATATTGCTCAGCTTTAAGTGGATCTTGCAGCTCCTGCATCTCTCCTTCTTTTCATCTGTATTGTTTTGTAAACTGAGCTAACTCGAATTCTAACAATTTATTTGCTCTCAATAAAGTTTTTAGTTCCTGTTTCATATGCTTTTCTGTACCTTTTAAATTATCTGTTTCAAATGAGTCTTCAATTCATTTTGTAACAACAGTTGCTTATTTAATTCTTGCTCCAACTGAAGACTTAGATTCTTAACTTCATGCTCCATTCTTTATTTTCCATCAAATGCTCAAGCTTCTGCTGATATTGTTTCAGATCAACATCTACCATGGAACACTGCTTCTCAATCTGAACAACCCTACTTTCAGCCTTCTTGCGAGCCTCTCTCTCTCTTCCTTTAGCTTTTTTTCCATCTCACACATTGCAACAGTTTTTGCCTCTTCAATAGACTGATGTTTGTCAGTTAAATGAGCTTTGGTTATGTTATGTTCATTTACCTCTTGTTCTAACCGTTGTTGTAATGATTTAAGTTTATAGTTTAAATCTATTTCTAAATTTTTCTTTTCCTTTTCTGAGTGATTAAGCATATCTTGAGCTTCTTTTCTCTCTCTTTCCATTCTTCCAAGATGATGTTTGAGATGCTTCACCTCCTCCTGTAAAGATGTAATTTGAGCTTGAAGGTCTCCAGTCATCTCAGAATCATGACCTCTGTCTCTTCGTTCAGCTTCCAACACAGCTTGCAGCTGGTAATAGTTTTTGTCCATTAGTGACTTGGAATTCTCTAAAATTCTATTTCTCTCCTGCAGTTCCCTGGTTAGGGACTCCAGCTCACTGACTGCCTTGCTCCTCTCTGTGGGACTCTTCCCTAACCCCACAGCTGTGTCTGACTCTGTCCTGAGTAAGTCATTGGCTTCTATTGGCTGCTTTTGTAATTGTGCCAGTTTCTCATGAGCAAGCTGTGAATTCTGATTTATTGTCTTTAAGTCTTCCAACGGATCCTTTAGTACATTAACCTCATTTGCTACATTCCTCCTCTTCTCATTTTCCTTCTTTCTTTTCTTTGGTACTCATTAGTTCTATGCTGTAGCAACATTTTATCCTTTTCAATCTGAGACACTGTAGATTCTAGATTTCTTCTTTGATTCCCTCTTCAACCAATTCTTTCATCATCTTTTCTAGTTTTATGTTTAAAGTTCTGCACTTCTGCTCCATTTCATCTTTTAAGTGCATTTCATTATGCAGCTGTTCTTTCAGCTTAATACTTCAGCTTATCAATGGTTTTTGCAAGTTTTCCTGCAAGCTTTTATCCACATTGGAGCTCATTGTACTATCATTAGGATTAGCTGAAGACAAGTATCTACAATTGCTGTAATATGTAAATCCTACAAAAGGTAGCTGATTGCCAACAAAAGCTTTAGGTATAGGGAATATTTTTTCAGCTCCTTTATCTTCTTCTAAATCATCAAAGTTACTTGTATCAATGTCACTGCTTAAGTGTGGTACAATTGGTGCTACAGTGTCTCAGAGTGTTTCCCAAGCCCACAGATCATTTTTGAAGAAGAGATGTCGTTTGATTTTTTTTACACCATTTCACCCTAATCTCTCCTCTCTCTCAGTAAGGAAGGCACAAATAAGATTTTTTGCTTCTTCTGATATGTCATTATCATCATTGAAGGTAAGTGAATTTTTATGGTTCATAATCTTACTATAAATTCTGAGCAGAGAATCTGCATAAAAAGGTGTAGAACCTACAAGCATTTCATATAAAAACACCCCAACAGCCCACCAGTCACATTCTCATCCATAATAACCATCACCTCCTGGGGATTTTAATACTTCAGGGGAAATATAATCAGGTGTTCCAATTGCTGTACACATTGTACCATACCTTCCTTATTCATCTTCACACAAGTACCAAAATCTGCTAACTTCAAATGTCCAGATTTATCAAGCAGTATGCTATCAGGCTTCACATCCCTATGAATGAAACCCATGGAATGAATCACATCTAATGCAGGAACTACTTCTGCAGTATAGGACTGTGCCCATTTTTCAGGCACATCATAGTTGCTCATTAAGTTCACAAGATTTCCACCAGGCGTGTATTCATTCCATCACCATGTAGAGGTAACGATCATCTTGGAATGCATAAAAAAGCTGAACGACCCAAGGACTGTTAGCAAAAGCTAACAGTCCCTTTCTTCCCAGAAAAAAGCAGAATCAGATCTCTTAATCATTTCATTTGCTGAGAAGCTTCATAGCATATGCCTGTCTGGTGGATTTATGCCTTACCAACTGAACTTCTCCAAATGCACCTCTACCAGTCACCTTCACTACTTCATAATCTTCAGCTTTCATCTGTAAATCTCTAATTTTATTCATTCTGTCTTTATATCTATTTAAAAAGTTGTCAATATTTTTGTTTTTCTTAAGGCAGGAAAATCCAAATCATATACCAAAGCATCCAATCCATCCAGCAAACACTCCAAATTCACTTCCAATTTGGTATCCCGCAGCAGGTGGTCTATATTTTCAAACCAAGTCTCAAAACTGTCCGCAGTCGACATGCTGCTGTTACTGTGCCAGTACCTCCTCCCAGCACCAGCAGTGGAAAGCAATTTCAACCAACCTCCTCTGGCGGTGGGTTCGCAGCAGCGGGAACCTCAGGGTCACAGGCGCACCTAGCTCCCTTCCTCCCCTCACTGAGGGGATCTCCGCTCTCCGGACCCGGGGCCACGGCACAACAGTCACTCTCCGTTTGTTATGTTACTGTGGAGGCTGCTGCTGCGGCGTTCGGCAGAGGAGCAAGAGGTCGGTGCCCGATGTGGGCTTAGGAGAGGGAAGGCTGGAGAACCGGCCCTAAGGAAGACTAGAGTTGGGCTGGGGGCTGCTGCTGACTCGGGAGCTTCTGGGAGGGGCTGCGGCCCCGGTC